ATGGTCGAATGCTCAAAACGTCGAATTGTCAATTGGCCGAATGATCAAAACATCAAATCGTCAAATGTTTGAATGCCCAAAACGTCGAATGCCTAAACGTCGAATCGGCAAAAATTCGACGTTTTGAGCATTCGAACATTTGACGATTCGACGTTTTGAGCATTCGAACATTTGACGATTCGATGTTTTGAGCATTCAACCATTTACCGATTCGATGTTTTTAACCATTTGACCAGTTGACAATTCGATGTTTTGAGCATTCAAACATTTGACGATTCAACGTTTTTAGCATTCGACGAAATAACGATTCGACGTTTTGACCATTTACCGATTCGATGTTTTGAGCATTCGATTATTTGATAATTCGACGTTTTTAACATTCGATCAATTGACAATTCGATGTTTTTAGGATTCGACCAAATGACGATTCGACGTTTTGAGCATTCGACCATTTGACAATTCGATGTTTTGAGCATTCGAACATTTGACGATTCGACGTTTTGAGCATTCGACCCTTTGGCGATTCGACGTTTTTAGCATTCGATCAATTGACATTTCGACGTTTTTAGCATTCAATCAATTGACAATTCGACGTTTTGAGCATTCGAACATTTGACGATTCGATGTTTTTAGCATTCGACCAGTTAAAGATTCGACTACTTGGCATTCGACCATTTGAACATTCGACCACTTGGCGTTTAGGGGAAAATCATATGCGTCTCAAAAAAAAATCTTGCCCTTAAGCTAGAAGTACTTTTATTGGTTGAAAAAAGGCGGGTAAATTCAAATTGCTTTTTTATTTCAAATAATGCATTTACTTTAAATTTTATGAACTTTTTTTATTTTTATGTTTGTGTATATTTTTGTATACATTAATTTTAATTTCTCAAGATAAATGCATAAGATAAAACATATTTTTAACAATTTTTGTTAATTAATCATAGAATGAAATTGATCAAAAATAATTATCAACTTGAATGTAAAATATTTCTTATTAAATAAATTATCTTTCGAGTTCCACTGGAACAATCCTGTTAATAAGATTAATTCTAAATTTGTTTAAGTTCAATCATTTTTTCCCAATTTTGAGTAAGAATTAATTATCCCTACTGAAAAGAAACGACTGTAAATACGGCCATACGGGCGTAAATATGACTGTGAATACGACCCTAAATACGAGCCTCAGTAGGGTGGTGTAATTGAAACAGTAAATTGAGCCGTATTTATGCCCGTATTTAGGGTCGTTTTTACGGTCGTACACGGAAAGAAAAGGTCTGGAAGAGATATCCATAAAAATATTGTTGAGCAGAATATTGTTGTGTTATCCAATTCAATGGAAGAGACAACTTTCAGAATGGAAGCACATTCCATATTCAATGGATGAGGGAGCCATATTATATTGTTGAATCAAATATGGATGTGACATCCATAGGCATGGTTGGGCTTACAATTCATGCTATGGATTTTCACATATGGCTGTCTCATCCATATAAACTTTGGTTGGGAGATCCATAGTTAGTTCAAAATTTCGATACATGTTGCGCGAAATTAATTATCATGGCATCCATTTAAAAATGGTCGTCTCAATTTGTCCGTCGCGTTGGTTTCCTGTCACGTCTATATAATCACGTTGTGAGTTTATTGAGTATAAATAGTGTTATAATTGTTTATTATTTATTATCGTTATTGTCTATTAGTGTTTATGTAAATTCATTTTCATGAAATATGTGTATAGTATATAAGGAATATTATATGCTCAAATATTGTAGTTGCGTGTATAGTGTAGTGGATAGCGTTAGTGTTTAGTATGCGTTAGGTCTAGGGTTCGTGTCTCCCCCATCGGTTAATAATTTATTTCGTAAATATGCGGTTATTCAATAAGTGGTGTGTATTAATTAACAAAAATGTGTATAAAATATCTCAAGTGACATAGAATTTAATTAATTGAGTGATTCTAATTTTTTTGTTTCCCATTTCCATTACTATGGATCACCCAACCATAGATCTTTTGCTACTCCAACAATATACAGCCAGCCATAGAATATGGATGCAGCAACCTTAACTATGGATATCCCGTATTTTTCAATATAATATGGCTGTGATATCCATGTATCTGGATGTGTCAACTATTCCTTTTTCTCCGTGTATATGAATACTATTTTTTTTCCATATACATTAAATATAATATTGCTCTAAAATAATATATTTTTTCAGATATGTAAGTATTAAAATATAATTTATTCTTAAATAATTTGAAATTTTAAAGCGTTCAACTAAAAGAAATGCAATAAAACAATTTAAGGATATGTCAGGAATTAGGATAATATTATTTAACAGTAGTAGAAGATGATGTTTTATTACTATTATAATTATACTATAATTATAATTGTTATTTAACATATAAAAAATATAACACAAACAAATATTTAAAAAAAATTCTCGTCAAAATTACAATTATCTTTATAAATAATAAAATACTTCATCGAAATTCAATTATTTTTAAAAGTTTTAATAAAATTCTTGACAAAATTCCACAGGAATTTAATTATTCAATTTCTAATAAATTTCTTCGAAATAATTCAATTATTTTCATAAGTAATAAAATTTTTCACAGGAATTCAATTATTTAAAATACAAAATTTCATAAAATTTTTCGAAAAATATCAATTATATAAAAAGATTTCTATAAAATTTTTTCAAGAATTCAATGATTTTTATAAATAACAAAATACTTCACCGAAATTCAATTACTTTTATAAACTTGAATAAAATTCTTTGTAAGAATTCAATTATTTATATAAATAATAAAATTCTTCACAGAAATACAGTTATTTTTATAAATTTGAATAAAATTCGTTGGAAGAATTAAATTATTTTCAAAATGTAATAAAATTCTTCGCAGAAATCCAATTATGATCAAAAATTAAAAAAAAATTCTTGTTAAAATTCCAAGTAACTTTATAAATAATAAAACTCTTCTCCGAAATTCAATTATTTTATGAAAATTTTAATAAAATTCTTAGGAAAATTTAAATTATTTTCATAAATAATAAAACTCATCGCAGGATTTTAATGATTTTTTATACAATATATATATATTTTAATCAAATTCCTCAAAAAATGTAATTATTCTTAGAAATTTTATTAAAATTTGTCAAATTGAATTCAATTATTTAAAAATTTATTGATAAAATTCTTTATGAGAATTCAATTTTAACAAACATTCAATTATTCAATAAATTATTTATCTTTTAATTTAAACAATTGGATTTTTTTGAGAAATTGTACTGTTTGTAGAAATAATTGAATTCTTGCGAAGGATTTTATTAGGATTTTTGTAAATAATTAACTTATTTTGGAAAATATTATAGTAATTTAAATTATTACAAAACATGAAGAGGGCGATCACTCCGAGTCGAAGACTCCATCCGTCCACGAACGCACGATAAATAGTTAATGCCTCTATGTCTTTTAACGGAATTGCCTAGATCCAACGCGAAAAACGATCGATCATCGTGAGGCAATATCTAAAGCCATCACACGAAGTCATCGGTCCAACAATGTCGATGTGGACATGACGGAATTTATTTTCGGGAGCAACGAACTGTGAAGGCAAAAGAATATTATGTCGAGATACCTTTGACTTCTGGCAAGGCAAACATTCCCTACACCACTCTCGAATGTCCTTATTCATGCCTGGCCATATATAGCTTTTTCCAATACTTCTTCCTGAAACTTTAGCGCTAAGATGTGCTGGTCTATGAAAAATGTCAAATACATTGGGGTATGATCAGGACCCTACAGAATGCGCTTTAAATTAAGACAGGTAGATTCGTTTTGACAAAGAGTTTTAAATTCTGAATTTTCATTCTGAGCTTCTGATAAATCTAATAAACTTACATCTGATACCAAACGTATAAGAACAACACGGAACAGACAATCAGCAACTACATTTTTTCTCCAGGTAAGTATTCTAAGGAAGTCGTAAATTGATATATGTATGATAATTGTCTCAATTTTCTTGGGCAAGCTTTGTCGGATTTTTGGGTAAAGGCATATATAAGAGGCTTATGGTCCGTGACCAAGGAAAATTCTCTACCCTCGACGAAGTGCCGGAAATATTTTATCGATTCAAACGCTGCGGTCAGCTCCCTATCATAGGTACTATATCTTCTCTGCGTCGGGCTGAGACTTCGGGAAAAGAATACCAAGTGCTTCGAACAACCGTTCTGAAATTGTTCCAAGTAACCTCCCATTCCCGTATCGGACGCGTCCGTCACGACACGAGTCGGGGAAATAGATGATGGATGCACAAGAAGTGCAGCGCTCTCGACATTCGCTCGACAATCCTCAAAGGCTCTTTCCAAATCTAGATTCCAATGAATCTCTCTTTTATCGTTTTTCTTTGAATCATGCAGATATGCATTCAAAACTCTTTGACAATCAGCTGCTCGAGGTAAACATCCCCGATAAAAATTTATTAAGCCCAAGAATCGTCTCAATTCGAGAATATTATGAGGTTTAGGGAAATCGAGAATTTCTTTGACCCTATCGGGAAGAGGTCTACACCATCGTTATCGATCGAATATCCTAAAAATTCTACCTCGGAATGACCAAATACACACTTTTCTAAATTCAAGCGAAGAGATGCCTCACTCAAACGACCAAAAACGATTTTTAAATGACGTTCATGTTCCTCATCAGATACAGAAGCTACCAGAATATCATCAATATACGAATATACGAAATCAAGATCGCCCAACACTTCATGAATGTATCGTTGGAACGTTGCACCAGCATTCCTCAATCCGAACGTCATGACTGTAAACTCAAACAACCCGAACGGTGTTATAATGGCGGTTTTCGGAACATCATCCGGAGCGATAGGAATCTGATTATACGCGGCGTGAAGGTCCAGTTTTGAGAAAATAATCTTACCGAATAGCATTGCCGAAACATCCTGCACGAAAGGGACAGGATATTTGTCAGGAATTGCTTGTTCATTCACACGACGGTAGTCGCCACACACTCCAACCACCCCATTTTTTAGGAGCCATATGGAGTGGCGAAGCCCACGATGCAGTTGATTGACGATACTCTGCTGATTCTAATTTCTCGCGAAAATGGTTCTTTGCAACAATCAATTTCGCGGGAGACAATCTACGAGTCCTTTCGGCTACTGGAGGTCCATTAGTAATAATGTGATGCATAATACCCTGCGATAATATATTTTCTGACTGAGGCAATCCAGTTAAGGACGGAAATTTGGCTAAAATTTTCATATAGGTATTCGATTTATCTACCACACTCACTCCAATGCAAGATGCCAATCCTATTTCACAAACTGTATTAATTCTGGAATGAGAATCAATTAATTTGCGTCCACGAAGGTCTACATTTAGACCGTATGATGACAATAGATCTGCCCCCAAAATAGGATAGGGCACAGATGCTATTCTAAAGTTCCATACAATCAAACGATTAAAACCAAAATTTAAGGACATGTGACGCTCATCGTATGTATTTATTAACGAATCATTCGCGGCATAAAAAACAAACTAGGCGGGTCTCCTTTTTGTTTTGTGATCAGCTGGAATCAAGGATATGTCAGAACCGGAATCAACTAAAAGAGTTAATCCGGATTCTCGATCCTTAACGAAAAGGCGTTTTAAAATGAAAGTAGAATTGATATTGATTGTGGGAGGTGGTGATTCTAGTTTTCCGAAGATGACTTAACGAAACCGCAAGGTGGTCTGCATTTGTTAGCGTTATTGCTGAATATTTTATGATAAAAACAGATTTTCTCTCCATTGTTACGACTCTGGGATCGATCATTTCTATTACCACGCGATTTATTCGAATCAGATCTATATTGGGATCGAGATCGAGATCTATCACGGCTTCAATTAAAATTGCTATTAATTTTAAATTTTCCGTTATCTCTAAAATTTCTGGTTGATAGCGAGACGAGGCGTTGAGACAATTCGTTTAATTTATCCTTAAGATCGTTATTATTCTCTATAGACGACACCGATCCACCATAGACAGGTCCCGCGTCGACAATCTTATCTGCTATTGTAGCAAGTTTAAAAAAAATTACCGACTGAGCATTATAAGTACACGTGCTTTGTATAGCTCCTTAGTTATTTATGATTTTTTGAAAGTTATCGATAAATTAGTGAAATTATTTGCTTAAAACATCGACTATTAAGCAGTTTTTTAAGTGTTGAGTGTTGACTTTATGCGTTTGATTGGATAAGTAAACTGATTTTTACGGTAAAGTTATATCTTGCAAAATTGACATGCCAGTTTGTATTGAATGTCAATTACAGGTGTCTAGAGCATCAGGTGAATCTATTCCCTGTGCAAAGTGTAGTACTTTGGTGCATCAGGCATGTGCCAATGTAAACATGAGCAAAAAAGACTTTGATTCTTTGAAAAAGGTATAATTAATTATTACTGTGCTAAGTGTAAGAGTGACACCTGTGGGAATAAGACCTCAGCTACTAATGAAAAACAAAACGTGTCGGTTCTTTCCACATCAGATACTGAACCATCGTCAAAATACCTAGATGCTATCCGTGTATCAGTCGAACAGGGGCAAAGCAATACAATGGCTGAATTTCAAAAACAAATATCAGAAATATTAAGAAGAAAGAAGCTATCAATTATCCGAATCAAATTTTTACTAAATAAATTAAATATCTTAAATAAATCTCTATAAGCTCTTAGATTTCATATGTATCGAGAGCACAGCTGCTCTTACATATGAAATCTAAGAGCTTATAGAGATTTATTTAAGATATTTAATTTATTTAGTAAAAATTTGATTCGGATAATTGATAGCTTCTTTCTTCTTAATATTTAACTGCCGAATGATAAATTCACTTTCTATAATTATAAATATCAGAAATGTTTAATATTTTTAAAAATGAACAGTTTGAATTTAACAGAGGTTTAAGTGAATCAATTTTATCAATGAAGGAGAAAATTAGTGAAAACTCTAAAAAAAATCAGTGCTATCGAGGTCGAATCAGCTGATTTTTCTAAAAAATTAAAAATGGTCAAAACTGAATCTGATCAACTAAGGAACAAGGTCAGTCAGTTAGAACATATTGTAAATGTTCAGGAACAATCTGCCCTTCTCTCCACTCTTGAGGTTCATGGTTTACCAATGAGACAAGAAGAAGATTTGCGTGAGACCTTCATTGATATTGCGAAAGCATTGAACGTTCCCATTGATATTAATAACATCGACAACATATATAGAATTCGTAGACAAGGCAATGTTGAAGTTTCTCAGTTTCCACCTACAGTGGTGGTCAAGTTATCTTCTCAGATATTGAAAGACAAGATTATTAATCAACGAAAGGCTTGTAATAACTTTTCGACTGTTAACATTGACTGGCCCGATAAAGAGAAATCCTACATTTATCTGCGAGACTCTTTGACACCTTTGAATCGTCGAATTTATTCAGCTGCTCTACTTCTTAGAAAGAGTAACAAAATAAAATATCTATGGGTTGCTGGAGGCAAAATATTCGGACGTAAGGCGGATGGCGAACGCAGATTTCAATTAACATCACTCGAAGCAGTAAATGCAATCCAATAGCAGCGACTGGATTTTTGGTTCCGTTCTTTGTTATTTCAAAATTTCTTATTCCTTTTTAATTTCTTTTTAAAATTTAATAAAGTAAATTTTTATTTTCCTTCATGCAGTATGATAATTAGCGTTGATTCATTGAGTCTTTATATTTATTGTGTTTATTACTTTTTTATATTCTCACTGTTATTTTATTTTTTAGAACAGAACAGTTCAATTGTTTCTAAATGTAATCTCGAGGCCTGTTTGATTTGGTTTCTTATCGGGTCCTTAAATTTTGCAATAATATCAATTTATAGTTCCTATTTATCAGCTTTCATTAATTTTGAATCTTTAAATTTGCTATTGTCAGTCGATCACAGTGGAAAAATTAAATATCTGTCATGTTAATGCGCAGTCATTGCGTGCACATTATATCGAATTTAAAGATTTCTTTGATACGGGCTACTGTAATATTATGCTGTCTCAGAAACTTGGTTATCACCTACTGTTAATTCTAATTTAGTGAAATTAAATAATTATAATCTTTATCGTAAGGACAGGGAGTTGCGCAGGGGTGGGGGAGTGTGCTTATTTATTATTAAAAATATTAAGTGTTCTCTAGTAGCTATGAGTACTGAGGGACCATATTCTACTGCTGAATTTTTGTTTCTTAATGTTCAATCTCAACATGACAGTGCATTAATAGGAGTTGTTTATAAACCACCAAATGCATCATTTGGCAATGAACTGGAAAATCAAATATTTTCTTTTATGTGACCGACAGATTGGCTCAGTCGGATAAGTGCCTGGCGTTGGTGGTCGTTTAAGGACCAGGGGTATAAGTATCCTTGGTTCGCGCCCACTTGGCTTGGTATTTTTCCGGCACGTGAGACAATCTGAGCGGGAGGTTTGACGTCGAGGTATAATGATGTGCACCGTCGATTATTGTCCGGTACACACCATTAGAACTCGACTGTCGATAAACCGGTTGTACTCAGGAGAGGTTTTCTACAGTTTTCCTCTTCTCTGGCGAGAAAACCCATTGACGGGTGGTCCAGGCGTAATGCGAGTACTCTTAATAAAGTCGGCTGTAGACGCAAATTAGGTTAATATATAGAAAATTTCTAAGTAGAATGGTTATGCTTAATCCAAAAAAGTATTTCTCGGGGACTCTTGTCGAAGTGCGTAAGGCCAATAGGGCAGGAGTATAAACAATAAAAAAAAAAAAAAAAAAATTTTCTTTTATGCAATAATTTAACAATACCATAATAATGGGTGATTTTAATTGTAACTTAAATGTACAAACTCCTGCCACTATAATTACTTAACTTCGATGATTTTCTCGGCAGGTTTGAATGTGGTTCCTCATAACTCTACTCACTCACCATACAAGTAGCACTAGCACTAGAATTGATATTATGATTGTTGATAGTATGGATAAAGTACTTAATTTTGGACAACACTCGATATCATTTTTTTCCAACCATGACTTGATTACTATTAAATTCGAATTTGAGGGAAGTCGATCTCAGTTCCATAATAAATCTAATCTTATTCGTAATTTAAATAACATCCCCGAGAATGAATTCCTTACGCATCTCTCAACCTACGATTGGGCAAGCTTGTATTCCTCACCTGACATTAATGTAAAGGTATATAAACTAACTTATTACTTAACTTCTGCTTTTGATACGTTCGCACCTCTTCATTTATCAAGGATTAAAAAAAGATTTTCTCCTTGGATGTCAGATGACTTGAGAACTCTTGTCAAGGAAAGAAACAGGTTGCGTAGAATATCAAAAAGGACTAAAGATCCTACTGACCTATGTAATTTTAGAAAACTTCGTAACTTGTTTCAAACTAAGATAAGAGATGCCTACCATAAATATAATTTTAATATGATTAAAAATAAAAGTAAAACTCAGGACATTTGGCATATTTTAAGGAAAATTAACATTATAACTTCTAAAAAAAGAACTACTGATTATACATTTCAAGCAAATGAATTCTTAAACGTTTTTTCTCATGTTCCTGTTCCGGCTCCCCCATCCACATGCGAACGGTGGCCCGTAAACAGTGACATATTTGATGAGAATAAATTTTTCTTTTATGATATTGCTCCAAATTCATTGCTTAAGAGTATCAATAGTATTAAAACTAATGCAATAGGACCGGATCATATTACAATTATAATGATTAAATTAGCTCTTCCAATTATTTTCCCTGTTCTTTTGCATATATATAATTGCTCTTCAGACGGGAATTTTTCCTGAAATATGGAAAATGAGTAATATTTGTCCTATACCTAAGATACATAATCCTAAGAGACCTGCCGATTATAGACCGATCTCTATTATATGTGCTTTATCTAAACCTTTTGAAAAAATCGTGTGCAACCGCTACAATCTGGTTTCCGTGCTAAACACAGCACATGCACAGCATTGCTAAAGTTTACAACAGACATTAAGCTTGCTATGGATTTAAAATATATTACTATAGTTGTATTTTTTGATTTTTCTAAAGCATTTCCGTCAGTGGATCATAACTTGTTAATACGTAAACTAAATTCATTCAATTATAGAAAGTGAATTTATCATTCGGCAGTTAAATATTAAGAAGAAAGAAGCTATCAATTATCCGAATCAAATTTATACAAACAAATTAAATATCTTAAATAAATCTCTATAAGCTCTTAGATTTCATATGTATCGACAGCACAGCTGCCCGAATACAGAAACCTGCTTAATCTGAAAAATATTTTCGAAATTAATTAATAATTTCAAAATTATCAAAGAATCCAGAAAAAAAACGGTAGCATGGTGGGATACGAGCCCACGACCTTTCTATTGCCGGTAGACTGCTCTGACCACTGAGCTACATGCACCCCGAGACTCTCCGAATTCTTTGACATATACTATC